TCTTCCCCTTGGACGCCCACCCGACTTGCCCCTTCACTTCCTCCAGGTCTCTGCATAAACATCATCTCTCAGACAGGCCTTCCAGATCTCCTGATGGGAAACAGTACCCTATTCTGTCACATCCTCTCCTCCCGTGCTGTCCAGCCCCTGCGTTCCCTGATGCGCAGCATCTCCGTTTACAGACAGGTCCCCTCGCTGTCTGGAAGTATCAGGGCACCTTGGTTTTGCTTGAGGCTGCATCTCCAGGCCTAGAGGGCACCTGGGATGTCTAGACACTCAGTGAGAATTTGTTTCTTCTTGTTTGCTATAGGGCATGTGCACTCACCAGAGGAAGAGAGAGAGAGAGACAAAGAGAGAGAGAGAAAGTGAGAAGGCACCCCCCCAGTGAGGATGGCCACGCTACAATCTCTTCTCCATTCTCCTCCTGGGATTTGGGGCATGCGTATATATGCACCCAGCATGTTTCTCAAGCCACGGGGCCTGGGACTCAAACCGCACAGTTGACCATGTGGGATCCAGTTGCCTCAACCTCCACATCACCTGCTGGCCCACTCAGTGACAGGTTTTTTTTTTGTTTGTTTTTAAATTTTTAAAATAATTATTTACTTAGTTTTATTTATTTGTTTATTTTTAGCTTGACCAGAGAGAGAGTGTGAAAGTGAGAAAGTAAGCCACCAGGTCCTGGACTTGAACCGCAGTCAGTCACGTGGGAGTCCAGCAATTTAACCACCATGCCATCTGCTGGACCCGAGAATTTATTAAACAGACAGATGTACTGCTCTGTCAAGGGCCACCCAAGTCTCTCGTTGAAACAAACCACCTCACTGCAGCCCCCATGTTCTCGCCCTCCTCCTAGCCTCTGCTCTTGAGAGCTGTCCCCTAAAGTCCCCTCCTCTCTTTCAGTTTGCAAGGCCAAGCTCAGGTAGCGCCTCCTCCGAAGCCCCCAGCTAGTCCCGCAATAGCCTAAGCTCCTTCCGGTCCGCTTCTGGATTCTAAACTCTCAATGTCTCAATGTCTCGGCTCCCAGGCAGCCAAGGGGGTGCCTTCACCCCACTGCGCGGTGGCACGTGGAGCCTGAGTGCTCACGGATGGCAGGGAGGGAAGCAGGAGGGCCCAGGCCCTATGCTGCGAGAGGAGGCTGGGACAGGATGAGCAGCAGCCTCCCAGCCTCCAAACCCAGCTGGTCCCAGAACGGGAGGCGGGAGAATGTCCGACTCAGCTCTGGTTCATCCTCCAACCACTTTGCCCTGGGATGGACTCATCCTGGACAGACGTCCCCAGCAGCCCAGAGCCCTTAGGAAGGAACAGGGTGGGGTGGGGGAGGGATAGGGAATACACAGGGGAAAGGGACGGCCCTTCTGCCTGTCCTCCCCCAGACGCCCTCCTTCTGCCGGGTGACAAGACATTTAATTATAGATATTTGGTACCGCTCAGAATTCCGAATGTCCTAATCACCTCACCCCCTCCCCCAGAACCAGTTTCCATGGAAAATCACAGCAAAGAGCCGAAGAGGGGAATGAGTGAACCCGAACCTCCACCCCCACAGGGTCCCCGCCAAGGGGAGGCAGAGAGAAGCAGGGCGGCAGATGAGTTGCAACCCAGGCCTTCCTCAGCAAGGCTGGGAGCTGGCTGGGAAGGTGGGGGTCAGGGGGACAAGGCCAGGGTGCTGGTGTGCGGGCCTGGCTCTGGCCAGCCTGGCTGTGTGACCTTAGACCCAGCACACTCCCATTCTGGCTCTCAAAGTTCTCCCCACTCCAATCCCAGGCCTTGGTAAATTAAAGAATCTCCGTGAGTGTTCAGGCTGTTGGGGATGTGCAGGCGACATCCCCAGCTGTCCCCTCTACTAAGACGGCAGGCCAGTTCCACATCGCCGCCAAGACACTGATCTGCTAGGACTCGAGGAATCTAGCAATCTGCGAGGGTCAGTCTGTGTGGGAGGATGCCCGTGGCGTCCACAATGGACGTGCAGACACCCACTGACTGGCAGGCGGCAAGCGCTTTAATAAACGTCAGCCGCTGTTCCTGCTGTCCCAGTGTGCAAGGTTCGGAGTTCATCCACCCATGACTCTAAGACACGGTCACTTCTCACTGCTGGGCTACAGTTGTCCCATGTGTCAGGGTAGCAGGAACGTGGGATGCAGACGGCTGGGCAACAAGACTGTGCCTTAAAGCCTGGTATGAAGGGCTGCTGACCAGCTGGACTACCGTGGCCTAGGAGGAAGTAAAAAGGGGCGTGGGGGGCAGCAGGGAGGCCAGACAGCTCTGCCTCCTCATCAGACCACAGAAGCAGGCAGGAGGCATAGGATGAATGACCAGGGAGCTGTTCCTCCTTCCCTGCATCCCCAGGTCCTCCCAGCCATGGCAGAGAGCTGTTGTCCCTGCCCCCTACCATATCTCTGGCTCCTCTGCATCTCTAGACCACCCACAGGCTAGGAGTCCTTCCTGCAGAGGCTCGAAGACTGGGCAGCCTAACGTCCCACCGTATAGACAGGAAAACCAAGGGCCAAAGACAACTCATCCAGGCCTCAGAGCGAGTCAGAGGCCTGGCCAGTCCTGGCATCCAGGCCTCCTGCCTCCCAACCACGGGGATAATGCCATGGCAGGGTGGATATGGGCTCTGGGCTGGGAGAGACCAAGTGAGAGACTCCCCAAAGCCTGGGGCCGGGCGTGGGCCCCCCAGCTCCATGGCCTCTCTGATCAGTTCCTGACTGGGTGCACAGTGGTCTCGCCCCACAAGCACAGCATGACAACTCTCTTCCTTCTTCTTCTGGAGCCCACACCACACCACCTCCACCCACGCCCCAGGGAGCTGACTGGAGCCCCAGGCCCCAAACAAGGGAACATTGTCTCCTCAAGGGAGGCCAGCAGGAGGGGGTGGGCAGCTGCTCCCCATCTTCTTGGAGCCAGAAGGAAGGGGAGTGCAGAGGGTTCTGGGCTAGCCAATGGAAGAACTTACAGGCTTTACAAAGGGGTGGGAAACAGGGTCAGAGTCTCTTCTGAGCCTGCTGAAGCCCACCAGGGTGTACTGAGGCCCTAGAGAGCCCCCCTATGTTCAGAAGCCGCACAGACGGGGGCGGGGAGGAGCAGCCCAGTTGGGTTGCTGAGAAGCAGATGGAGCAGCAGAGCCTGTTTCTCCCTGTCTCCGACCTCCAGGGAGGGAATAGTCACACCACCCACTCACCTCCAAGCGGCCTCCAGGCAGAGATGTTTACCCCATTGCACAGAAGGGAAAAGTGAGGCAAAGATGTGACAGATTTGGGCCACAGAGACCTAGAGCCAAGGCTCAAACACTGCCCTTCTAATTACAGATGTAGCCGTTCTCTCCCCTAAGGAGTTGGGAACACCAAAGTGGGCCTGGAGTGGACAAAGGCTTGGAGGCCAGAGAAAGGCCCTGTTTTGGGCAGGAGAAGCACCCCAGCATGAAGTGGGAACACGAAGGGAGGTGGGGCAGAAGCTAGTTCTGCAAAACTGCCACCTCCTCTCTGGGTCCCAAGGCCTCCTCTTAGGAGCACCCTGTCCCAAGTCCTTCGGTTTACCTTGGCCTTCTCCTCCAGGTGAGCATTCCCAGAAGGGATCAGTCGTGGGAAAGGGGGCCAGGGAGAGGTCCCCTGGCAGGAGCTGCCCTCCCCTCCCCGACCCACCAAAGACAGAACTGGCCCTGGGGTCTAGGGGCACCTGAGTTGCCCTAACAGGGTCCCAGAAGGAATGACAGTTCCCAAGTTCCCCTCCTTGCTCCCTGTCAGCTGGCTCTCTGCAGCCTCCATGAGAACTGCCCAAGCCAGGGTGGAGAAAGAGACAAGGGGACAGAAACAAAGAGAAGGAGAGTTCAGAAGGGCCGCGAGAACCCGGGGAATAGGGAGTGACCAAATTAGTCCAGGGGTTGGGCTCTCCTGGCTCCTCAGAGTCAGGCACCACAGCGGGAGTGCAGGCTGCAGTGGGAATAATTTCCGAGCCGGCCGGAACCCAGAGCCTAGAATCAGGCTGCCAATCAGATGCCAGACTGCCTGGGACCTGTCTGATCCCACAGATGAGAGGTAGAAGGGGGGGGCCTGGGGATAGTGAGCCCCCAGGGTCCAGTGGGGGCAGGGAGGGCATCTGAGAGTCACCAAGAAGGGGGTAGGATGGGGAGAAGATGCAAGTAGGCAGGACAGGCCCCCCCACCCCCCGGCCTCAAAGAGGCCTGTGGCGGCCAGAACCACTCTTGACCTCTCAGAGCCCCTCGCCATTCAGCCTCAGTGGCCCTTCCCTGCCTCTGCTCTCCCTAGAACTCTCTACCCCCACTGGCCTCATCATCACGAGGCTCCGGCAGAACTCAGGCCCAAGAGTGCCTCAACTCAAACCCAGACCCCCAAATCTGCAGAACCAGCACACGGAAACAGGCACCACCTTGTCCACAGCAATCCTCCCAGCTTTACAGATGGGAGGGTAAAGTCCCAGAGAAAAGGCCAGCATCACAGCAAAGACCGCGAGGGACAGACCCCTGAGCCCCTCTTCTGCTCACCTCCTCCACTACGTGATGCTTGGCACCTCCCCAATTCTCCCAGGCCCGGGAGCAGACCCACACTTTGACCTGCTACAAGAAAGCCAGGCTAGGGCAACTAGTCCATGTCCGCTGTGGACTCCGGGACCCACACACCCTACCCAGGGCAGAGAAGTTCGGAGAAAGGACTGAGCTGAACTAGGTGCCACCACCCGCCTGCCTGCTGTGCATTTGCTACAGGGAACCACATGGAATCTTGAAAACCAGTCCCCAAGAAACAGCCAAAGAAGAGATAATGCTTTGTAATTAACACCCTTGACACCTTAGAACAGACAAGGACATTAGGACCAGCATAAGCTGACTCCTTGACAGAGCACTGTGTCATTAACACTCACAACTGCCTGGGCACTGCCCTTGGGCTTGGGCACCTGCCTAATGAACGCATGTGAAAGGCTCCTGGGCAGATAGTGCCCGTGCCCTCCTCTGACCCCACTGCCAGTGCCCCCCACCAAGGACTCACCACCTGTGGCTTGCAGCATTTGCTGGCTGGGGTAGGCTCATCTGGAGCTCGGGCTGCCTCTGGGCGCTTGGCCTCAGTGGAGGGTGGTGCGACTGAGGTCAAGCAGGGCATGTCCACAGGCCCTGGGACAGGGACCTCACCCGAGCGAAGAGTCAGCATGTACTGCTTGGTGACGTCCTCGAGTGACGGTGCCTGCAATGTGGGGTGGCCTCGGGCAGGGAAGCCCATGGGCTCCGGTACAGTCACAGGTGGGCCCATGGAGGCCGGCGGCTCAGGCACCACAATGGGCATGAAGGTGGCGGGCACGCTGGCATGGCGAACATGTTTGGAGGAGGGCCGGGCCCCAGAAGGGCTCCCAGCCTGGTCCTGACTGCCCTCCTCTCTACGAAGCTCCTGGTGACTGCTCCGGGCTGGGCGCTTCTTGGATCCTCGGCGGATGAGCCTTGGGGACAGAACATTCGCCAGCTTGGGGTCGAGGTGGAAGTCGCGACGGGCAGCAGAGGCTGGTGGGGCCTCAGGCAGGACCCTCTCTGACTGTGCCCGGCCCCTGGCAGGACTAGGCTCTTCTGGCTCTGGCCTCTGCTCGGCAAGAATGGGTTCACTGCTGGATGGAGGCAGCATGGGCTCGACCTCTCTAATGGGCTCCCCTCCGGGGCCCTCAAATCCAGAATCAGCCAGCTCCCCACGGCGGCTGGGGTCACTCAGAGACTTCTTCTTGGGGGCCTTGCCAGCAGCCCTATCATCCTCCACACGCCTCAAGGCACCAGGTCCCTGAACGATGCTCTGAATTACCTCCTGGTAACCCTTGCTCTCTTCGCTGCCCACAGACCAGTCACTGTGGCCACTGGTCAAGCCCTCATCCATGGCTGGGGTTGCTGGAAGCCCTGACTTAGGGCTCAAGGAGCCCAGGAGGTTGCTGTCCACAGAGAACCCAGAGGGCTCCTCAGAGGTAGCAGCCCGGTGGCGCTGGGGAATTGGGTCACTCAGGGACCTGTAGGCCTCACCTGCCTCCCCATTGCTCAGTTCAATCCCACCAAGGCCTGAAGGTGGGACTTTGCGCCGCCTGCGGAGGGCACCTGGTGTGGGAGGCGTCTCAGGGGACACCAGGGTCCACCCACCCAGACTGTCCTCAGTCCCGGGTCCATGATGATTTGTCTGGGCTGAGGACAAGGAAAGGGGTCGCCACACCCCGGTTGTACTCAGGCCACAAAAGGCTGCAACGGGAGGCTCAGGGTCTGCTCCGATGCCCTCATCTGTCAGGCTGGACTCAGGGCCCGAGAGCTCCTCCTGGGACCGCTGTCCACAGGTCAAGTGTCCTGCCCAGTCAGGGCTTCCAGGGGGGACATCATTTCCATCCTCCTGCTGGGCTCCCATGCGCTGAATCTTCTCGAAAACTTGGCGGGCCTCCTGCACATACTGATCTTGGACAACCAGGGGCAGTGGGTCCTCCTCAGCGCCAGGGCCTGCCAACAGGAGCTCAGAGGAGCTGGGCTTCAGGGCGCTGGCACGGGCAAGGCGGCGGGGCACGGGCTTCTCAGAGCAGGTAAAAGACTTTGCCCTCCGCAGGGTGGCAGTCAAGTCCTTCAGTGTAGGGCGGATGCCAGGTGATGCTGGGGCTGGGGCAGGCATGGGTCCGAGTTTCCCCATCGGGCCACCTGCAGATGGGGAGTCTCTGCCATCTAAGGGGCTGCTCCCAGGGTCCCCAGGGCTCCCACCTGGCTTGCGGACTCTAAGCTCTGAAAGGTCTGAGCGCAGGAAACTGAGCAGCGTCAGGGTCTCCGAAGCAATATCTGGATTCGACAGGGACTTCCGCTGTCGGCTCTTGTCAGGCTCCAGTCCTCCATCCCTCAAAGCTCTGGTGGCGCCCACAGGTCCCTTGGCCCTGGTTCGAGATTGGGGCCGTAGGAGCCCTTCCCCGGCTCCAAAGCTGGGAGAGCGGTACATGCCCCAGCCCCCAGAACGGCTAGACCACAGGTCCTCATCCTTGAGGGTCTCCGTGCTGGAATAGCGACTGCTGCCGCGGGAGCCTGCCGGGCTGGCCAGGTATGCCGGAAAGCTCACCTTGGCCACACGGAAAGCTCCTCCCACAGTGTCAGACACAGGCCGCAGTCCCTCCTGGGGGCCTGGGACGCAGGGCGGGGAGCCAGTACCCAGTTCTCGAGGCCCCTCCTCGCTAGGGACTCTTGGAGATGTTGGGGGCTCAGGACTCCTGGCTCCTCCTGAAGAGTCCATGCTGCCCAGGTTTAACCCATCACTGTCCAGCCTGCAGTCTTGATCCAAAAGGGAGCTTCCAGGCCTGAGCCTTGGCCTCCCTCCCTGGCGGTGGCCGCCCTCACCGACTTGGTCCTCGTCACTGCCCGAGGAGTGGCCGCCGTGGAAGGCCGGCCTGGGAGCCCCAGGCGACGGCAGCGGGCCCTCCTCTTCCTCCTCGCTGGAGCTGGCAGCCTGCCTGTGGCTGACAGGATAGGAGGAGGCATTGGAGGAGGAGGAGGAGCAGGAGGCCCGGGCCCCGGCCTGCGGTTGGGAGAAGCTATGCCAAGAATGTAAACCATCCGCCGGACGCTGCGCCCGCTCCAGTGTCTGCTGCTGCCGGCGCCCCCGCC